AACGTATCGTCCCAGCGATCGAGTCTTCTTCTCAATTGCTTCCTGGGACACGCATGTTCGATTGTATTGGCAACAACACCAATGTTACTTTGATGCAAACAAGGAGGCTTTGAAGCATTACAATTCGTGTAGATTGCATTTTTTATTCCAAATCGGTAATAAGGAGGTAGAGTGTGGGAAGTACGTTAATCGGGTTCGGTCGATTGGCGGAGATAAAAAAAGGGGGCCACTAACCTTTCCAGGAAAATGCGACTAAAGGCGGCGTAGTGAGGATCAGTTTCAGTTTATTTTATGGGGATAATAGAAAATCCTATTGTTTACATGCCTCTGTGTCACATACATATACGCTTAAAATTGTCCTCTTAACACAGTATCCACAAACTGTTTTTTACAAATAGCTCTTGTCTAGAGTCTGGAGTTCGAGTATTGAGGGACAACCGGGAACACACATAGGTTTTTCGCAGAAAGAGGAACGTTGAGGGGGGGGAATGACTGTGGCAAATCATGGATGACCAAAGTCTGGGTTGGAACCAACTGAAGGACTTCCAGGCACAATGGAACGGAGGCTACATGCGCATCCATTATAGTGAGACTGAAGGCGATTCCGACAAAGCTAACACATCCTCCACACCCATTAACAATACCCGCGAAAGAGACATTGGCGACCACATTCAAAGCGCTGGCCAAGATTCACCTCGCTTATGCGACACCAATCTCGTCTCCTACGATCAGCTCTTCTAGCCTTCGTTGCCTTCAGTCAGCACAGAACGCCGCACTCTGCCTAATCACGGGTTGCTATAAAATGTCGCCTATCGATCATCTTCATGCAGAGGCCTCTGTCCTGCCAGTTGCCCCTCACAACGCACTCTTAGACTAGCAGTTTTGGTGGACCTGTTCGCAAACTGGCCATCCTAATCACTACCGTTGCCATGCACCTGAACTCAGCCGCAGCTTCGGGTCGTCTATTCAAACTCTCCATAAGGAAGCTGTCGCCTCCTGTCTCTCGGATCTACCCGTTGATGGCTCTGCCGTCATGGCAGGCTTCCAGCGTCTTCACCAGATGGCCGTTGTCGAGGAAAAACGAGATAACCATCCCGTTTTGGGCGGCTAGCCACCTCCGATTGCGGCCTCAGAACAACAACTCCTGAGGATCACTCGCTGTACCTTGGCTCAACTACGCAGTGGCTACTCAATGCTCCTTCGCCAGTACCAACACCGATTCGACCCGTCCATATCCGACAGCTTTCCCGTTTGCAGCGTCTTTCCGCATGACTGTCAGCATCTTTTCGCCTGCAGTTCCCGGCCAGACACCCAT